TATAAACACATTTCATTACACCAAATACACAAAATAATGTTCTTTTTAGCAACATCATATGACCCCTTTAAAATATATATTTGAATAGAAAAGTTATTTTAAATTGTAATAATATTTAACAATATTACGATTACTGTTCTTTCAAAAACATTAAAAAAATCCTATTGACCCCAAATTTTTGAACAGTAGTGTATAAAAAAACAAACAAACAAAAAACAAGTATACTATAATTCATTTGTCTCTAAACACTCTAAAAATGTGCCTCTCTATCATTCTCACAGATATAATAAGTTGTTATCAGTGATTTCCCGTAGTCTCAGTGATCTGGTGAAGGCTTTGAAGGGTTTGGTGGTGATGTCATCTGAACTGGAGCTGATGTCTAACAGTCTGTTCATCAGCGCTGTTCCAGAACTATGGAAGGCCAAGGCAAGAATCTCCCAAATGTTAACCATGCAAGACATGCACTGAATTTGTGGAATGAGTGTTTTTGTTGCAATGTCGTGACTATGCAAACTTATTTGAAATATTTTACACAGGTAGCATAATATTCTTCTTTTATTATTTTCCCAGGCATATCCGTCTCTTAAGCCATTGGCTTCCTGGGTGTCAGATCTGGTCCAGCGCATAAGCTTTTTGCAGAACTGGATCTCAGATGGCATTCCTGCTGTATTCTGGATCAGTGGGTGCTTCTTCCCCCAGGCCTTCCTCACAGGAACCCTGCAGAACTTTGCCCGTAGCTCTTCGGTCTCCATTGACCTCATTGCTTTTGACTTTAAGGTGCATAATTTGTTTTCAGCAGCAAGGGTTTCTTGCATTAAACTCTATGTAATGCAGTTTGAAGCCTCAACTATGTTTCCATATTAAGCTCTCAAAGCAAGCTTGATATTTGATAGACCATTAAGAGAAGTATGGTATACCTGATAAGGTCAAACACTGGAATAGGACGTTCTGTTGCTTGATCTAAACAGCACAATGTGTATTTTTTTTTTAGGAACCATGTGTCTTGAAGTGGTTAGTGGTTTTCTTTGATTTCCTCTGTTTGAACCCTCTTTTAGGTGATGAAGGAAGCGGTAGCAGAGCTGACTGAGAGGCCTGACATCGGCTGCTTCATCCACGGTCTGTATCTTGAAGGGGCTCGCTGGGATCCAGAGACAGGCCAGCTTGCTGAATCCCATCCCAAAGAGCTCTACAAAGAGATGGCTGTTATCTGGATGGTACCCGTTCCCAACCGCAAACCCCCTCAATCTGGAATCTACGTGTGTCCTATCTAGAAAACTCTTACCCGTACTGGTGAGCAATTTGAATAGTATTGTTTGTGAAACTTGCCACAGTCTTTTGTTAATGTTTCATTACTGTACATCCTGTGGAGTCATGTGATTTATGTGAAAATTTGGTTTGTGATTTACCACATTTAACACATTATTTGTTTTTCTTCCACAGGAACTCTCTCGACCACCGGGCACTCAACCAACTACGTAATTGCAGTTGAGCTGCCCACAGATCGTACCCAAGGGCACTGGATCAAACAGGGTGTGGCACTGATTTGTGCTCTTGACTACTAGACTTATACACAAATCCTTATTCATACATAAATAAAAGCTTCAAGCAACATGAGAAAAATATAGAATGACAAAAAAACTGTTACACTGTAAACACTGTCAGTTAAGTTTTATTTATTTATTTTGTGTAACAGTCTTATGCATGGATGTAGTGCTGTACTAAATCTTGGGACCATGAATTGGACTCAAACACCCACAAATGATGATGTCATGCAATATATATAGCATAGTATTTGTTAATATTTTAGTATGTCACAAGGATAGTATATCATAGTATTTATTCATATTTTGAATAAATTGAATTTGAATTTATATTTTCAGTTTTCATTTTTATTTTAATTCAAGTTTCAGCAATTTTATTTGCTTTTTGTCATCATCTTTAGTTTTAGTTTTTTTAATATTTCTATTTAGCTTTTATTTATTTTTATTTCATTTTTATTTAGTTGTAAAGGCAACATCTCTCATTTTCACTTAAATTTAAGTTAAATTTTCATATGTATATTTCTTATGTATATTTTGTTTTATGTCACATTTTTTAATTAATGAAAACAATCTTAATTGTTTTAGTTATAAAAACAATAACAACATTGCAGTAAACATTAGACAGACATAAATAAAAAAAAAAAAAAAATAAATAAAAAATATATATATATATATATAATTATTTTTTAATTTATTATTTATTTTTTGGTGTTTACATGACCTAAAATTCTGATTAATGCAGGCTTAAACTATCAGTTTATTCAAACTAGGTGACTCAATCTAATGTCTAACGGGAATAGTGGCTTTAGGTCATCTCGATCAAGTGCTGCCACAATAAATGTGCGCGGCTCCTTTAAGAGAGTAGCGGTTTAGAAGCTCGCGCTTCCGCAACAGACACTGACCGCATGTGAACGCGCCCGCACACAGCGGCATTACAGTCAATGACGGGAACTCCGTGCAGCAGGACAAGACACTTTCTTTTTCATTTCTGACACTTTTAATATGGACCTTTCCTACTGAACGTGAATATGACTTTTATTATTAGATAACACTTTTTTGGAATTCATTCTCATAACTTAATGTGTTTTTTTTTTTTTTTTTGTTTTTTTTTTTTTGTTAAACTTTATAAATGAATCTTCCTGGTGATGTTGAAACCGGCATTTTGCTTATATGTATCTGAATATAAGTGGCCTAATGCTGGTAAATGTGCTGTAATTCTGTGACCGTCAGCCATCACAGGAATTCATCAGCAGTGTATTTTCGGAACAGCGTCACTCAGTGACAGCGGGACCCGCGCGGATAGTTTATCTGTGGATTTTAAAGGACCATCTTAAGCCACGTTGAGTGTCTGATAGCTTAATCTCATCTGCACTGAAAGATGCTCCAGAATGGCAAGTCTCAAACGGACAACGCGGACGCGTCCGAGCCAAAGCCAAAGCCCGAAGCGCAAAGCGAGAAGCCAGAAGCGAGCGAGAGCGCCGCGTCTCACCCAGAGAATGAGTCCACAGACACTGACTCCACTCAGTTCCCCCTGCCCGTCTATCCCAAACTAGAAATCAAGCGCCATGCTGTGACTGATGACTACAAAATGTCAAGTCATGTGTTGGGTCTGGGTGTTAACGGCAAAGTTGTGGAGTGCTATAACAAGAAAACCGGACAAAAGTGCGCGCTGAAGGTAAATCACACACACGTTGTAATGGGAATATAATGGGAGAGTTGAATAAACTTGTATGATAGACATGTTTGTCGGCAAGTTGACATAATCAACCCTGTTAACCTGATCCAATAATTGTGGTTTTGTTTCAAAAGCAGTCCTTAAGCCTCAAAATATTAAGCACAACGGGTAGTTAACAAATATCATGGACATTAACTTATCCCCCCCCCCCCCCCCCCATTTCCATTTCCATTTCCATTCAGTCAGCTTTTAGATGTTCAATTCTCTGAAAGTGACATTTTTAAATATTTCATAAATATTTAATGTAGTATCTTAATATAAAATCTAGAAAATTGTATCATACCTTTTTGACAAGGTTTTTAAAATAGCAGGGAATCTTAAAATTGTGAATTGTGAAAATAACTTTTAAAAGTCCCAAAAGGACTTGAAAATGTGAATATAGCTTTTTATCAGCTCTAAATTTTATTGGCTATGAAAGTGTTTTTCATTGGTCATGACTCATGAATGACTGAAAAATTCAGAGAAAATCACATTGGTCGAAAGGTTTGAGAACCCTGCAAAGAAGAATTTTGTTAGATGACAGTTATATAGAGTCCATGTCAAATATGACAGCTTTGAAAAACAGTTTCAAATAAAGTAAAATTTTCGGTAGCACTTTATTTTACAGTCCTGTTCTGCATGTATACGTACTTGTTATAGTAATTACAATAACTGGGTAATAACTAACCTGGACCTACCCCCAAACCGAACTCTAACCCATGTTACCTTATATTATCCAGTACTGGTAAGTGCACTCTAAGTACAGATAAGTGCACATACTGTAAAATGTGCAACCACATTTTCTAATGAACTTTAATTTGCTGTAGGTGTTGCTCGAGCTATAGGAGTTTTGCCTCATTAACCAAGTATTTCATTATGTATTCACGATGAGTTTTTGAATCTGATGTATCAGAAAACAGTAAGTGTCTCTAAGTTTTTGCGTGTGTCATGGCACCGTACCTCATGTAAAGGGTCACTTGCCGGAGTTACAATCAGTGCTGAGGTTCCTGGAAACTGGAGGGCCACTAGTTAAAGGGTTGCCAAATCTGACTTGGCTCTTTAAGGAGATGAGGTGTGACACACAGCACTCAGGCAGAGCAATGGAAATATGTCACCCAAGTGCCATCGTGGACAGGGATTTACTGTCCAGTATAATCCAGCTGGATCAGAAGAACTCAATATGCACATAAGGATAAAAAAGGAGGCATAAGGAGTATAATTGTATTTATGTATTAATTTCTATTGTTTTATTAATGAATGAATGAATTAATTAATTTATATTAATTTACTATTTATTATATTACATTTATTTATTTATTCATATTAAGTTTCACTGATTCAACTTATTAAATATCATGTTTATTTTAAATCTAAATATTTCAACTAATATATCCAAATAAAGATGAATAAATGAGTGTTTATTTAAATATTTTTTGGGAAATTTGCCTAGTCTAATCCATTATTAAAATTACAATAGGGCACTGTAGGTGTAGGAAGAACTTAGAGATGCAAAGTGTACCAAAGATTCGCGGAATGATACATCTAATCTTGTTAATTTTTTATTATTTTTTTTTATGTTGTGAAACAATTAGAGCTTATAAACTTTCCTGCCCAGTGCCCACCTGTAGTTTTTCAGGCCATCTGATATTTGGCAAGTCTGGACTGCACCTGTTCTCTCTGTTTTACAACTTAGTGGAAGATGTCTAACTAGGTTTAAACAGCAGCTGACCTAAGATATGCATTCAGTGTCTTTCGTAATGGTTAATGTCAGGATTTGAATATCACACAAAGTCAATATGCAGAGACTCACTTACTCTCAATTGACATACCATCCCAAATATCTCTTGAGAGTGGTAGAGGCATTGCTTATTATTATGAAAATGGCACAGGCAAAAATAAATAAGGTTCTTTTGATATTTATTGTGTTGAGAGTTGTGCTATCCTAAATGAAACTCATTGTGCTGGGACACAATAAAAATCCAATTGACCCGAGTCATTCAGGAGTAATTTATTGCTCAATATCCTCTCTGCTTTTTAATCACAGAGTAAATAGGCATAGGGCAGAGCTGTCCATCTTGGCAAGCCTTTTAATTAAGTAGTATGTTGACAGCTAACTGTAATGAATGTGAGCATATAGGTGCTGTTTAATCCACTCTGTTTAGCTGGATAGAAGCCATCCTTTAAATCTAACTCATTTAATTCACTCTTGATTTCACATATTGGATTTGAACAGTTGCCAACAAGGAAAAGATATCTTACAGCCTGACTGAACCCCTGAGATTTATTTATTACGCTGCCATTGGGTCTCTGTCTTGCAAAGTCTGTACCCTGCATATATAGTCCAGTGCAGTAGGGGTTCTTGATCCCTTGATTGAGTTTAGTTTGTGGTGTGCTGGTCTACAACATTTGAAATTAACATTAAGAAGAGGAAACAATCCTAACTTAAAAGGTCAATTTCTTCCCAGGACAGCCCAAAAAAAAAAAATAAATAATAATAATTTAACCTCTGTTCTTGAAGTAATTAAATAGCATAGAGTAAATAATCATTTATATAATGTAAAAATGTATATTAATTAAAATGCTGAATTTTTACGACAGTTATAGGACAGAATTTTCTATATGATATATAGCGTTTTTGAAAATGAACAAAATATAAATTTCTTAATTTTGTTTCATTTTAAATATGTTTATAATTAAAATGCAGATTTTCTAGAACAATTCCGTATGTTCAGAATTCTGTCTATATAAATATTATATTAATTATTTTAAAATATATATATATAAATAATTATTATAATTATATCATTTTTAGGACAGTTATGTTTTTGTAACGAATTCTGTGAATAAGACAAAATCAGAACCTTGTTTCACGTTTAACAGTATTTATTATAATTTGATGAAGCAACATGGTGGTAAAATGGCAATGAAAGATGTGTGAGCTCTGTTCAAAGGCCTTTCACCGTTCCCATTGTGCTGTCAGCTATAATGTATGCTCGACTGGTTCATATTACAGCCCTGGCGCTGCCACTCTCACTGTTCAGTGTTTGAGTTCATCTTTCCGCACAGATTCTACATTCAGGATCCAGATATTGTTCAGGATTGAGCCTTTGTTCAATCCTGGCATATTTCTGAGTGTGCCGCAAGGTTCATCTGGAAGGCGCTTGATGTTTTCTAAGCAAGGGGGATGAAATTTGCTTCCCCCTAAGGGAGAAACAGAGAAGGCAGAGTGTGACAGAGCTGTATGACGAATTTGCAAGAGCTGCTAACTTGTCTGTAGAAGTTCATTTTTTAGGAGGGTCAGTTTTATGCTGTGGCAGTTTGCGTATGAAAATCTGGGCTATGAATTAAACTCAAACTCTATCCCATTAGTATTCAGTGATTTTTTTTTACAACAGACCCAATAAAGAGTATAAGATTACATGAGATAAGAATAGTTTTTATAAAGCAGCTAAGGGCAGAATGCTGTGTAATACTGTGGTGTCTTTTACAAGAGTCTTATTTTAGACAGATCAGAGTGTCATGTTTCATGTGTTATCATAAGACGTGACTTGGACAAACACAAAGTAATATAAACACTCATGCGTGTCTCTGTTTGACCAAGAACCAAGTGTGAGATGGTTATGATTACGCTGACCTCCAATAAATCAAGTTGAGCTGCTTCAAATGACAAAACAGACCAGAATGCAAAACCCCCACACGTTTCTGGGCTGAAACTGAAATATAGTGGTTCCTAGAAAATGTAATTCCCCACTCTGTTTTTTAAGGAAACTGTGGTCACAGAAACCTTTTGGTTACGTTCAGTACTATTCTAAATATACATACTAACTGTAAAAAAAAAAATTAATTGATTTTATTTTACTAAAAATATTGAATGCATCAATCTGACTACAGTAAGCTACACAATCAAAAGTCATTTCAAAGTATAAATAAGCTAATAAATATATACAGCATGTGTCATTAGCTGGTATCTGTAAACATCATGCATCCATCTCATTCAAATTAATGACTCACAAAAAAAGAATAAATCTTGTTATTTACTAAACAGATTCTAGTCGGAAGTTTATAGATTTGTCTCACAGTTAATTTTACTGCTGAGTCTAAGGGTTAGTTCACCCAAAAATTACAATTAGCCCATAAATAACTCACCCTCAAGGCTTCCTAGGTGTATTTGACTTTCTTCTTTCAGACGAATCCAGTCGGAGCTATATAAAAAATTGTCTTTGATCTTCCAAGCTGTTTAATGTCAGTCAGCGGGTGTTGCATGCATCAGTCCAAAAGAAGTGAAATAAAAAGCGATGATCTCTTTTCATCGCTTTTGATCTCTCCCCTGCGCTTCCGCGTTCATCACTTCTGAGCGGCGCATGCGCAACGCTGACGTCCTACGTCATCCACCTGGAGCTGCTTCCGTGTACAACAGTGAGTGCAAGCTAGATTAAATTTATTCTTACGTTTATTAAATATGGTTATTTTTCTTACAAAAATGCATCGATTCGCTACAGGAGTAGCCATGTGAGACTTTTTATTATGGATGGGTGCTTTTTATTTCACTTCTTTTGGACTGATGCACTGCAACCCCCGCTGACTGCCATTAAACAGCTTGAAAGGTCAAAGACCATTTTTAATATAACTTAGGGCTGGACGATATGGCCAAAATTGATATCACGATCAAATAAATCAATGCATGGGAAACTGGTAATGTATATCGAAATATCGGAAATGTGTTTAAAAATCATATCACCGTTATTGAAAAAAATTATATCGCGATACATATTGATATTGAATTATTGTCCAGCCCTAATATAACTCCGACTGGATTCGTCTGAAAGAAGAAAGTCATATACACCTAGGATGCCTTGAGGGTAAACCCTTTAAATCCAGGCTAGTCATAAAGCTTGAAACAGTCAATATAGCCATCATGCATTCTGCAATCAATCCCTGCAGAAGTGCTGATGAAATATCTGTTGCTTCTATTGTCTTTTTATGTTTCTGTGAATTCAGCAAACTGATTGATTTCATGGCAAATGCAATTATGCATTAGTGTACTGGCCTTAATTGAGACCATTGTAATTTGTCGTGGAACTAAATAGATCTGACTCATTTGTAAGCACATGGTCACACATCTGCTTTCTCTCATGAGTAAACTACTGTATATTTTTACATTTTTCAAAGAAAACGTGAAGGGGGCTTGTTTGTGCAAAACCTTCTGCCACAATGCTAGGGTTTTCTGAGTGGTTGCCAGGGCGTTGCTATGTTCTCTACCATCCAAAAATTAGGGGTCAATATGATTTATTTTCTACGAAAAAAATTAATACTTTATTTAGCATGGATGCATTAAATTTATCAAAAGTGATAGTAAATACATTCTATTCTAAATACTTTCTATTCATCAATCATGGTTTTCACAAAAAATATTAATATAAAATATTAAGAATCACAACTGATAATAATCAGAAATGTTTATTGAGCATCATATCATGATTTCTGAAGGTTCATGTGACACTGAAGACTGGAGTAATGATGCTGAAAATTCAGCTTTGCATCACAGGAATAAATTGCATTTTAAAATATATTAAAATAGAAAATAGTTATTTTAAATTGTAATAATATTTCTCCGTATTTTTTAGGATGTTCTGAGTGGATGCCAAGTTGTTTCTATGCAGTTTAGTTTAATGCTTAACCTTAATAAGTATGTGAACAATAACAGTAATACTTTTCTTAGAAAACACCACTATGTGTTCTTTGTAAGTTTACATGTTTGTTAGCGCCAGACAGTGCTCGCATTCATAATAGTAGATGCTGTCGCTCCTTAGAAATTAATCCTTTAACATGATTACCCATAAAGCTTATGCAGCAAAACCAATGCACATGTGATTTATTGTGTATGTGTATTATCTGATACTCTCGTGGTTTTCTTCCAACCACAACGTCTATTATTGTTGTAAAAGGATTTTCCTGACGTCTGTTTCACTGTGATTCTACAGCAGTTTTTTGTAGGTGGTTCCTGTATCTCTGAATCAGTGACTGCAAGTGGTTCAAACAGCTTTTGGGCTTTAATTGATAGAAATTAAAACCAGAACCCCGTTTCTGTTTGCTTGCATGTAAACAATTGCTAAACCTTTTTAAAGTGTGTAAATGGAAATAGCACGTTTGTTTGCTAGTAATTCGTTTTATGTGGTGACATCTGCCTTAACTGGTTCTATTCAAGTCAAAAATAGTTTTATAATTTGACAGAATTAACACCAAGAGTAATAAACACAAAAGATATTTTAGAATTGTCTCAGTTTTTTCCACCCTTCAGTGAAAGTCAATGACTGACTTTTTGATTTAGTGGACAATGACTTTTGAAATATTCTTCAGAATATCTTCGTTCATGATCCGCAGAAGAAAGACATAAAGTCATACATGTTTGGAACAATGTGTGGGTGTGTAAATGGTGACAGTATTTTCTCTTTTTGGGTTCCCCCCACTACTTTAAATGAATAGTTCACCCAAAAATGAAAATCTACTGAAAATGTACTCACCCTTGGGTGATCCAAGATCTAGATGAGTTTGAACAGATTTTGAGAAGTTTAGGATTACATCAATTGTTCACCAATGGATCGTCTGTAGTGAATGGGTGCCGTCAGAATGAAAGTTCAAACAGACTCGTATTAAAGTTAAAAAGTCATATTATAGACTTGCATTAAAGTTAAAATGGTTAAATGATGAATGTGTTTATTACAAATCCACAGCTTCTCACTTCACAAGACATTAATTGATAGACTGGAGTCATGTGGATTACTCGTTTTTATCTGCTGTTTGAACTCTTATTCTGACGGCATTGCAGAGGATCCAAATCTGTTCATTTTTGGGTGAACTGTTCCTTTAAGACTTCCTGTGTGATTATAACCTATCTTGGTTTTGTAAATACCTAGTGACATCAGTAAACTATTTATGAAACTACTACAGTCAGTATCAATTGATCATATACATCATGTTGCCTAAAAGGGACACAAAACACTAAAAGGCTCTTAACCAAGAGGTTACACTGGGTGTTACTGCAGTGGAAGGTTTCAGGCCCCAAAAATACACTCTGATGGGATGCATGTGCAATGTCAAGGTCTCAAACTGTTCCAGTGCAGTGAGTGCACGCCATGTGTTTGACGTCCCACTTAGGGGGAAAGAAAGGACGAGTACACAATGAAAACAATTAATTACTTTCTGTACTGACTCTGTGTGGTAAATTGCATAATATGAATAGAAATGTTCTTTTCTTTGCGTAACTGTTCTTGTTTAATGGGCAGCAAGGAATGTTCCAGGTTCAAAACAATGCTGTCAATTACCACAGATGAAAAGGCCATAGATGTGAACCAATTTTTTTTTTAAATGTTCTGTTTAAAATTCAATATTTATATATATTTGATATTGATTTATTTAATTACAAATACAAATAATATAAATCAAATGACAGTAGTTTATCAGTAATCCTAAAAAATAACACTGCCAAACACACATGCTAAAAAACAACAACTTACTTACACATAGTAAGAAATGGTTATAAAAACTGAAACAGAAGTGAAAAAAGTAATAGGAAAGAGGAGAAATAAAAAGCGATACTTATCCTTTGCCGGTGTCCCTGCCCGGTGGAGTCGCACGGTAGAGTTGATGGTCTTTACACTCTTCGGTCTTCACATGAGGAGGCCGTCACGCGACGGCTGCCGCGGTAAACTAAGCTTTTTTATACCCGTCTAACAAAATACTAAATTAATTCAGCTGGACACACTTTCCTTATTTTTTCACAACAAATGGCCAAGCAAGCGCAGACACTGACAAGATACGCGATACAGAACGAGACCAAACGCGATATCAGCACGTCTCCACACAGTAAACAAAAATATAGTATAATATATTACGTTATTTTTTGTATTTAATTTTAACATTTATTTTGGTATTTAATTTTAATTAAAATGTATTCTTTGATTAATATAAAGTTCAAAACAGCTTTTATTTGAAATATATATCTTTTGCAATATTATAAATGTCTTTAGATTAGTTTAATGCATCCTTTCTGAATAAAAGTATTGATTTCATTAAAAAAATCATACTGACCCAAACTTTTGAACAGTAGTGTATCCATTTTTCTAAAATATGAAAGACTGACAGTGTGCATCTTTTTTTTCTAATTTCTTTAGATTCTGTACGAGTGTCCCAAAGCCCAAAGAGAAGTGGAACTGCACTGGCGAGTATCTGGAGGGCCACATATAGTTCGGATCCTCAGCCTCTATGAAAACATGTATCGTGGGAAAAAGTGTCAAATCATAATTATGGAATGGTGAGTCCTGTCAGTGGTAAAACATAATTTCCCATCATAAAAATAACTTCCCATGCCAAAAATGGTACAGCTCTTTAGTCAACGTCCTTGACTAGTGACATTTCTTTTTTATAAAGACACAGCAATATGTTGTTTTTTCCTGTATTTTTGCAGCCAGTGATATCATGTGATGTATCGTGGGAAAAAGTGTCAAATCATAATTATGGAATGGTGAGTCCTGTCAGTGGTAAAACATAATTTCCCATCATAAAAATAACTTCCCATGCCAAAAATGGTACAGCTCTTTAGTCAACGTCCTTGACTAGTGACATTTCTTTTTTATAAAGACACAACAGGAAAAACAACATATTGCTGTGGGTTTTTTTCCTGTATTTTTGCAGCCAGTGATATCATGTGATCTTGTGTCTCAGTCTTGTTCTGAATGAACAATGGTTTCAGTTCTCTTTTTCACTGGTAATATCTCAATGATTTTTTTAAATTTTATTCTCGTTTGTTTGGACTGCATTGTTTCAGTAACAGCATACACAAGACTTTAAAAGTGTCATAAAAATGTGCTGATGTTTTTCTTATTTGGACATATTAAATGGCTTATCCCTATTTGTTAAATAGCCAGTAGATTTAGGGGATGGGACATTCTCATTCTAGATAACTTTTTCTTAGACTGAAATTGGTGCAGTCCAACATGAGTCATTCATTTTCCAGAAAAGACAGCCTGTAAATTCTTAAAGCAACAAGTGAATTCTGCAAGCTTTCACACAGACAACCTCAAAGCTAATAGACATGGACTAAAAAAGTGTACTATGAATTTTAACATTATTTTAGTATATGACAAATGGTGCACTGTTAATGCCCGGGTTTTTGTTTGTTTTTTGTTGTTGTGGTCGTTCATTCATTCTAGCAGTTTTGTCACGATGTCTTATAAACTTTTGTCTGTTTGTGAGGTTGATGCTGTATGAATTGCCCTGTGAAGGGACAAATAAATATTTACTACTACTACTACTACTAAAAACCACAAAATTTTGATTTTGATCTCATGCTGTTTAATCAAACAGTGGCTTTGAGTGTTGTATTAAGTGGCTGTGATGTGCTTTATCTGAGGTGGTTGAGCAGTGAGAGCAGCACTCAGAGGAGCAGAGAGGGACTGTCATTGTCCATCATTCACAGAGACAAACTCATTTCCTATATGCCTCTTGCTTTTGCACATTTTGGCAATAATATGATTCACATCATTTTTATAACCATAAAGCCAAGTTGTTGTTTTCACATGCTCAGCTGGGAAAGAAACTCAGCTTATTGTGATTGTGTATTTGTGCATTAAGCCGTATAATTAGAAAATGTGTGTGTGTGTGTGTGTTGTGTCAGTATGGAGGGGGGAGAGCTCTTCAGCAGAATTCAGGCCAGAGGAGACCAAGCCTTCACTGAGCGAGGTGGGTTATCTGTGCCACTGTGTTTCATAACACAGGAAATGTACAATGCAAATATAGATGTATGTTGCCACAAACACACACACACACACACACACATTTAGAACAACCTAAACTCTTTCTACTGCCACCAATTTTACATGGTCATAATGAGGTTTAAGAGTTATTTAGTTGGTCTCTCTCTCTCTCTCTCTCTGAATACTTTCCGTACCCACTGTATATATATACAGTATATATAAACAACTATAATATGAATATATTGCTTGTTTAGTTAGTTATTTCCCCATGCAATATCAATTTAGTTGAATAGTTTATTAGTTAGCAATAAATATATTAATTCCCCTATATACTTTCAGTTGTTTAGTAAGTTTAGTAACTATAAATATGGTTATGATGAAGTTATTTCCCAAGTTCCGTTGGTTGATTAGTTAGTAGAGTTATGATTATGATTTTGATTATGATTCGATTTCAGTTAGTTAGTTAGTAAGTTAGTTAAGTAGTCAGTCATTTTTTGAAGAAGCCACTGAATTGTAAACTTGGCTGATATTTTAAGACGGGAACTGAATAGTAGAGATTATTGAAGTTCATTCTTCTCTTACACTTATAATCATGAAATGACATCAGAGGCAGCAGTCACACTGTATTCCCTCTGTTCTGTGCCTGCAGAGGCATCTGAGATCATGAGAGACATCGGCACAGCCATCCAGTATCTGCACAACATGAACATTGCACACAGAGACATCAAGGTAACATGATCGTTACAAGTACTACCACCTGTAAGAATAAGAATAACATTATATTCAAGTCAGATATTCAGGAAAATGGGATCTTTGTGTCATTGTTGACAATATTTTGAGCATCTCTATACCCTCCTCAGCCAGAGAACCTGCTCTACACTAATAAAGAAGACACTGGAGTTCTCAAACTAACAGACTTTGGCTTTGCTAAAGAGACTTCACTGCATAACCTATTACAGACGCCCTGCTATACGCCGTATTATGTAGGTCAGTGAGATGAATGCCACTCTTATCATGAGAGGTACATTCTTTACCTCTCTTTAAACAGAGACTAAGACTGAGTTTTGTTTGTATATGTAGTGTAAACAGAATAACACTTGGTGTACTAATGCAAACTAATGTGTGTTTTTTTTTAATATATATATATATATGTGTCTCCAGCACCAGAGGTTTTAGGCCCTGAGAAATACGACAAATCATGTGATATGTGGTCTCTGGGCGTGATCATGTACATCCTGTGAGTATAACGACTCTGTCTGGTGCTACCTTAAGTGGTAAATTAAAGCTGTGGTGTACATAATTTTAAATGTCTAAACTAGCTGAAACTGCTTTGTTCCTCTTTATGTTGCATGAAGGTTGTGTGGATTCCCACCGTTCTACTCCAACACAGGACAGGCCATTTCACCGGGAATGAAGCGGCGTATTCGCATGGGCCAGTACGAGTTTCCCAACCCAGAGTGGGCTGAAGTGTCTGAGGAGGGTGAGATGCATTTTATGTCTTATTTTGCACCCAGTCAAACTTCATGTTGCCTGTTCACCACCAGAGGGCAGTATCGCTTTTGTTTTTATTGCCATCTTCATGACTACATGTAATCATGGATGTAATATATAACATGCATGGTTATATATAATTATAGTTTTCAGTATTGTTTTTGCATATTTATTCTACTTTTTTTTTATTGCCTTTTTCAGTTATTTTATTGTATTTAATTTATTGAGCATTAGAAACATATTCATACAATTACAAATATATATTGAATATTGAGTAATATAATAATAATTATTATCGCAAGTAGTTTTTTTTCCCTGGGGTTTAATAATTAATTATGTCTAATAATACATTCTGCTTAATTTTCATACTTACATTATTAAATGCTAGTCAGCAGCGTTGTCCTATGTGTACTTGTGATGGCACAAGAGAACAATCCAAAATTGTATTTTATGGAACAGAACATACAGATTGGTAAAGACTGTGTTTGCAGTATGTTGCAAATATGAATAAATGCCTCAGATATTCTGACTGTGTTTGTAAATTCACTCTGGTTCTCAGTTCTGTTCACACTGGTGTTTGATCCAGTATTTCCCAACCTATTTTTGTACCCCTACAGCCGTGTCTGTAATGCTCAAGTAGCCTAAAACACTGATCTAGATTATGGGGACCTAAACAGTCATGTTCCCCTTACGGATATATAATATTCTTCTCCTCCAGCCAAACAGTTGATTCACCAGCTATTAAAGACCGACCCTAATGAAAGAATGACCATTGAACAATTCATGAACCACCCCTGGATCAATGTGAGTATTTCAGCTGATTGTATGTGTTTCTTTGGATATATTTGCTCTGCATATACAAGGATCCAACACTGAAATGTTTCTTTTAGCAATCCATGGTGGTTCCCCAAACGCCTCTCCACACCACACGAGTGCTGACAGAAGACAGCGAGATGTGGGACGAGGTCAAGGTGAGCGCAGGATGCACTGCCCATTGAAAGAATTACACTACCTGTTTAGAATAATATCCAAATATCATTGAAGTGTCTTTTTCATTCTGTTTTGTTATTTTTATGTAATACCTGACGCTGAAGAATGGTAACACTCTGTGAGGGCATTATTTTCTGGAATACCATCTGTATCCTCAAGAGGGAGCCACACAACAGAATAAAAACAACTCAACTCAGTTCATTTTTATCAAAGTAACTTTATTGCCACAGTATATATACAGTGCTTAACAAACTTATTAGACCACCACTACCCAATGTAAGGTTTGTGCCACAGCTTACAAAACAGTATTGGTGATGACCAAAATCATGTTTCTAAGAGTGGAGGAAGTGGATGCAGTAGCCAATGAGGGACTGGGGATGAAGAATAGACAAATCAATGATCAGATAAAAGGAGTCAAGAGCAAGAGTGGAAGCATACGGAAATAGATGGGCTCTCCAAAGAAGAACAGAAGATGCATGGATCAAGGGAAGAGGCAAGAACAGGAGACAATTTTGTTGATAAACAAGAAGATTTTGAATAATTGGAGGGAATGCACATGTACACAGAGGAAGTCCTTGTTTCTACCACCAGCAGTGAAGAAGACTTTAAAAAGCTGCTTTAAAATCCTATCAAAGTAACTTTATTGCCACAGTATATATACAGTGCTTAACAAACTTATTAGACCACCACTACCCAATGTAAGGTTTGTGCCACAGCTTACAAAACAGTATTGGTGATGACCAAAATCATGTTTCTGTAATGGTTAATCCACCAGTATGTGTAAGCTCTTTAGTCACAGTAGTGTTTCTAATGCTAAATTGTTGTTATCCATGATTATTGTTGTTATCCATGAATTTTCAAATTTATTGTTTTACAAGAAAGGCAGATAAAATAGTAAAGCACTTAATTTTTTTATTCAGATGCCCAATTAATTACAGTCAATAACAACAGAGACTCATGAACAACTATCACAAAAAAGCTATATATGTATCTATGCTATTTAAATAAATCACTATTATTATTATTATTAATGATGATTATGAATATGTTTAAATTGTACACACAAACACACAATAATAATAATAATATATAACATTTATGTTATGCTATTTAAATATATAGAATTAAAAAATGCAGCCATTTAAATAAATCATCATTATTATTATTATTAGTGATTATTTGTAATTGCATACATATAAATATTTTATATATTTTATTAATAATAATAATGCTGATATTGATAATAAAAGTAAAAAAAATTAATAAATATATACACTCTGATCATGCAGGTCACTCCAGAGACTTAAAGGAATAGTTCACACAAAAAAATGTGCTGAAAATGTACTCACCCTCAGGCCATTCAAGATAAGTTTGTTTCTTCATCAGAACAGATTTGGAGAAAGTCAGCATTACACTTGCTCACCAATGGATCCTCTGCAGTGAATGGGTGCCGTCAGAATTAGAGTCCAACCAGCTGATAAAAACATCACAATAATCCACTCCAGTCTATCAATTAATGTCTTTTGAAGTGAAAAGCTTCTGTAAGAAACAAATCCATGTTTTTAAACTGATCTACATCTTGGATGGCTTGAGGGTGTGAGTACATTTTTAGAAATGTTTCATTTTTTGGTGAACTGTTCCTTTAATTTGATGTTGTTTTGGGCTTTTGTTATTGGCCCTTTTTACTGCAAATAAAAATTCTAAATGCATTTCCAGAGGAATTGTATGACTGTATTAGAAGTGTTTCACAATATTCCTTGTGTTGCAAGATGTGGTGCTTTTTGATGCAGTGAGTCACTTCCTGAACCTGAACTTATTATCAACATCTGCATAACTAAAGACTTGACCTGGTAGAGAAATTTTCTACAGGCGTCATTCCTTAGTGGACCAGTCAGTTCTAGAGAAGCTGACATCCACATACTAGATCTCTCCTTCCACCATCTCAAACATTCAGCTGTTTAATATTTTGGTTGCCAGAATTTGCATTAGCCAGATATAATTACCCATTCAGCCTATTATTATTATTATGAAATACTAGGATTTCCCACAGGTACTTACACTTTTTGTGACGATTATTACTACAAAGCTGAGTAGATTCTGTGAAGGAATGTTTTCCCGTTATAACTTTTCAAAAATGTTTCACTGCAGAAAACTGACAGAAAACGCTTCACCTGAAAGCAGCCTGTGCTAAATGCTCTGCTTTCTTTGTGGTCAGGCACTGCATGCGGTTTATAAATAACACAGCGTTTTGGTGCAAAGCCAGTATTAGTCTGGCTGATAGCCGGCCACTTTCTAGTGAACATATTTAGATGACCACTTAACAATGACCTTTCCCCTAGTTTCCGCCAACTGATGTTTAAGGAACAAGTGCCTGTGCCGAGTCTGTGGTTGAAAACTATTACAGTCAAAACTGTTTTGAAATGGTATTTTGAAATTGTTTGGTTTTTTGAATGATGACAGTTAACAAGTTACTGCAATCACAATCATAAACTATTA